CTTCGAGATATTATTAATGATCTGTAACACAATCATTGTTGTGACTATGATATGTATTTTCCTTAGTCGCATTCCATTTTTGAAGAGATTTTTAAAGAGGTCAAGGCTGTTTAAAAGTAGCAATGAAGTTTCAGTTAATAATCGTCAAATTCACATGATGCATCACGGATCCTTCTTTGAGTCGTGTGAAGAACGTGAGCCCCTTCTTTTCTCATCATTGAAGCATCAATAAATAAACTTATTGACTATTTTTGAATGCATAGATAATTATACATTTTAGAGTGTGTATCACCTGTCACAATTACATGATTTTGTAGTATCTATATTTTTGTATGCCTATACAGTTCTATTTTCCTTCATTTGTAGAATTGAGTGAAACTGGTTTATCCCATAATTGAAAATTGTTTTTGCAGTTTATTTTTATTGTGAAACATTGGAATCAGAAACTAATCACAGTTTATCATGTGTGTTTATTGTTTGGAAATAACTGACCCACTTCGTTTCAGTGTTACTTTATTCAGCAATGTAGCAAGCTGCAGACTTGAAAGTAGCTATCCCTGTTATACAAGTTTATGCACCCTCGCGTGAGAGAAAAGTTTCATTTTGAAGTGGGTGACAACTTTCACTTTAGATCCATTTCACTTTCGAATTCAATATTGGCCCCGCGAAACTATTGATTTTTAGCTCCACCTGCTTGACACACCTCTTTACACGTGCATAAACGTGGAGCTCTGAAAGTGAAGACTTAATAAATAAACAAGGGATGCTATAAAAGGGACTGAACAGTCCGAGTATGAGTATCCTGGCCATGTTTTTGTTCCTTGTAGTACTGGTTTTTACTGGTGTCTCGGTAACTCCTTTTAATCAAGTGGTCATAACTGAGGAGCATGGCTTGGAAAAGCTGATTTGTAATTCATCGTTTGCTAGCGATACTGTCCTGATTTTATCAACTAACATAACTCACATCATTGGCAATGTATCATTCTGTGTGGTCAATACTACCTACTCACTGACACTAACTGGCGATTCTACATCTAAACAGGCTGCTGTGAAATGCCCAGTACAGCCAAGTAGTGGATTGGCATTCGATAATATACATAATCTGACTCTGAACAGGTTAGTAGTGACAGGTTGTGGTGGGTATTTGAGAGATCTGCCATCAAGTGTGATAGAATCCATTAATTCATCAGTTTATTTGATTCATCACCATTCAGCAGCAGCATTGCTGTTGCTGCCACAAATCAAGGCAATAGTCATTGAAGAGGTTAACATTACATCTTATTATGGTTTTGCCATGCTAGCGATTAACCCATTGGATACAACAATCAATAAGTTAGCAGTTGCAATATCACATGTTGGAAGAACTGGTTGGTTAGGTTCTGGTGTATTTATGCTCTTTATTGATATCAAAGGTTCACAGAGCTCAGTCCCTTTTCATACTTCTATACATAAGAGTGTATTTCACTCTAATTACGATTATACTCAGTTTTATCCTTGCACTTCTGATTTTAAGGATGAAATCAAATATAAAATGATCTATGCTGCTGCTCTAACTGTATACTATAGACAGGCTAGCTTTATAGCTAATGTAAATGTTGTACATTCAAACTTTAGCCACAATTGTGGTGTATTTGTTGGAGCTGTATTGCTAGTTCATTACAACAGTTTTACGTATTCCCAGACAACTATATCACACTCATCCTTCTATGAAAACTTTGCTTATGGTAACTGTCCGATCGGAACAGACCTTTCATTTTTCTTCTATGATCACAACAGCAATATTGACAGCAACCAAATGATCAATGACTGCTATCCAACTGGTATGACTTGTCACTTTTCTCCACTCCTTATTTCAAATACTGCATATCAGTCACATGATCAGTTAAAGTTTACTAGTAAATCTGGAATTATTTTTATTCATATTTTTTCCACTAAACATTTTTTTGTCAATGTTAAGCTCAGCAGAATAAGTTTTAAATTTATTCCAATGTTTGATAGAGGATCATGCATTAGTGCTACTTCACTTTCTGCTGATACCACTAGCAATTATGTGCATACTTGCATTACACTTGAAAGTGTTTCTGCCTCCAATATTTTTTTAAGTAGGCAACTTGGATCAATTGAAGCTTATAAACTGTCTTCCTTTTTCTTTACAAATATTGATTGTGTTGTTTTAAATGGATCAAGTAACTTTACTGATAACATTGGCTCTGTTTTTGATATCAGACACAGCCAAGTCATACTGGGAGGCCAACTGCACTTTGAAAATAACACAGCAGACACTGGACCAGCTTTTAAACTAACTGGTTTGAGTAGGTTCATTCTTCAAGATGGTTTGAGTGCCACTTTTGTAAAAAATTCTGCACTTCAAAATTATGGTGGAGTAATATATGCATACAATGAAGTATCTTCAGATAATTGTATGTTCACATCAAACTTGACTAATTCTAGAATAAGTCTGTTGTTTAAAGAAAATACTGCCGGTAATACTGCTAATGCCATTTTTAGTAGCAACCTTGTATATTGTAAAGGAATTGATAATATTTATTATAAGCTAGATGAAGCCAAAAGTTACTTTAGTAACATTTCAAATGGCAGTCTGGATAGAAAAAATATGTTGTCTACTATAGAAAAATTAATATTTTTTTGTAATGATGACTATCACACTGCTTCATCTGTTGTTACAAAAATATATCCTGGAATAACATTACAGTTACCAATTGTTGCTGTTGATAGCTTCAACCAAACATCATTTTTGGAAATTGCTTTGAGTTTGTTAGGTAAAAACTTATTAGCCTCCAAGTTGTACCCTACTAAATCATGGTACATATCAGGTGAAAGCAAATACATGTTATTGCAAGATAAATGCACACTAGTCAATGTAACATTGTTAAAGCACAGAGAAGTTATTAATAAACATGTTGTCCAGTTTACACACTTAGCTCTTTTAGCTTCAAGCTATCAAAATTCGAACAGCATTGCTAAGTATAATTTATTACCTCAAGGCTGTCCCATTGGCTTTGAATTTGATGAATCAACTCACAGATGTGACTGCTCTCATGTTTTTCGTAAATTGGGCTATCAACCTATCTGTCAAATTATATTCCATGTTAACATAACTCATATAGCCATTTCAACACCACTAATTTCTATAAAATGGATTGGATCATTGCAAATAGGCAATAATACAATGTTTGGAGTTTCTCCGACCTTTTTTGTGTACTCTCACTTATATAAAATACATTACGACACTTACATCATTAGTGCTGATGACGATAGTATATTTTTGTCAAGTTCAAAAAATACTGAAGACAATATTACCCTTTGCCCAACTAACAGACATGGAGTCTTGTGTTCTCAGTGTGCTCCAGGCTACAGTGTGGTATTCGGCTCTAATCAATGTCTGCAATGTAGCAACTGGTGGCTTTTGACATTGATAATATATGGAATGTCTGGACTTTTAGTCATTTACTTATTGCATACTTTGAAGCTTACCATAACAACTGGGACAATTAATAGTATTATATTATATGCACAGATAATAAGCATTGGACAAGGTGTAAGTGTGAGTATGGCAAATGGTGAAGTACTCTTTTACTACAATTCATTAATTAAAGGTTTGCTGTTTCTTATTAATTTAAGCATAGATTTTGAATTGCCACTATGCTTTTATGATGGCATGACAGAGCTATGGAAATCTGGCCTTGGTTTACTATTTCCTGTTTATCTTTTGTCAATAGTCATTGGTCTCATTGTAATCAGTCGATACTCAGTAAGGCTCTCTAATAAATTGGGCAATTCATCAATACAAGTGCTGGTTACTGTGGTGCACCTCTCTTTTTCTACACTTTTAACATCTGCATTTAATGTATTCACACCAGCTTACATATATACCAACACAAGTGATGCACCATTGGTTGTATGGCAGAACGATGGTACAGTTGAGTTCGGCAAAGGTGGTTTTTTAATACTAATGATTGTTACAGGATTGATAGTGGGCCCAATTCTCACAACATACCTAACTGTATTACTAGCTGGTAGACCACTTATGAAGATCAAAAGAGTCAGAGAATATCTTCGTCCCATTTATGAAGCAATACATGCTCCGTATAAACCAAGGAGAGAATTCTTTTTCTTATCCTCTATTATACTCGTTGCTGTATTGTATTTGCTTAAAAACATTTTTATTAGTAATCATCCCACGGTTGGACTATTTATTACTATCCCTCTCACATCATTGTACTCCATTGTTCTTGGATTTTCTCGTCCTTTCAAGGAAATCCACCTCAACTTCCTTAACATTTTTGTTCTTTCTGTAATGACTCTTGTTGTCAGCTCTTTCTGGCTTACCTATGTCCACTTTTCCAACTTAGCCTTTAAGATATTATTAATGATCTGTAACACAATCATTGTTGTGACTATGATATGTATTTTCCTCAGTCGCATTCCATTTTTGAAGAGATTCTTGAAGAGATCAAGGCTGTTTAAAAGTAAAAAAGAAGCTTCAGTTAATAATCGTCAAACTCACATGATGCATCATGGATCCTTCTTTGAGTCATGTGAAGAACGTGAGCCTCTTCTTTCCTCAAGTTCTTAAAGCATCAATGAGTTCATTAATCATTTTCACATGTACAGATAATTATATATTTTAGAGTGTGTATCACCTGTCACAATTGAATAATTTTTGTAGTATATAGTTTTGTATGCCTATAGTTCTATTTTCTTTAATTAACAGAATTGAGTGAAACTGGTTTATCCCATAATTGAAGATTGTTTTTGCAGTTTATTTTTTTGATGGAACACTCAGTAATAAAAAAACTAATGACAGTTTATCTTGCATGTTTATCTACTCGTTTCAGTGTTAGTTCATGCAGTCTAATTTCAACTTGAAATGTAAATTATGGCAAAGCTGCAAACTTGAAAAGCTAACCTGTTATGCAAGTTCATGCATCCTCACATAGGAGAAAATTTTCATTTTGAAGTGGGTCTATGCAATTTCAATTCTAAGTGGGTGTTAGCTTAAGCCCACCATCCACTATTCAACTTTGTTGAACACAACTTTATGGTTGCTTTGATCTTATGGCAACACTGTTGCCTGAAATAGAATTAACTCAGTTCTATTTCAGGCAGCAGTGTTGAGTGCTGACAGCACATCAAAGGAACCACAAAGTTGTAGTTGAATAGTGGATGCATTCATAGCTAAAGTAATTAATGAATGCCATGCTTACATCCCCCGCCTACAAACACGTGTTATATGCAAGTATGGTGGACAGCAAAGTGATCGTTTTGCCAGGAGATGCAATTCCTCTGGCGGTGGGTAATGACATCAAACTAGGGCCTGGTACATACTCTGGAGGAGGGAGAGAGGAGGGAAGCTCCGTGTTCGTTAAACCAGGAATACTGAGACGGAAGGACAGGGACGGTAGCTCTTCCTTTTGGGTCAATACACAACACAAGAGGGTATATAATATGCATTTTATTAATACAGGCTATGCATTTTTGATGAGCACTACAGGATTATATGTAATATTTTTAAGTAATTATTTTTAATAGTATGTTCCCAGTGAAGGCGAGAAAGTGATTGGCGTCGTCTTAAGAACTGGGCGTGTCTATCGTGTTGATATCGGAGCCAGTCAGAATGCCTCTCTGCCTGAACTAGCATTTGAAGGAGCAACGAAACGTAACAAGCCAATCGTTCAGGTACTATAATAATAGAAGAACTATATTAAGTACAAGAGACCTAAGGCCATTGCAATTTGTTAATAGTTTCCTGCCCATATGGACCACTGCATGCACTCTTGATGTGGTGGTATAACATTAACTTACATGTACTTTATAAGTAATATTGAATATTGATTAAACTACCTGTAAATATAGACCACCCTAGGCGTGAATTGGAAAAGTTATGAATTTCATTAATTTTATGTCCCACACATCATAATTGGCTGCCATTTTGGTTGGCAAGTTTATTATGGAAGCCAATGGAGGCACGAAGAAAATGCCTCACTTACCTGCTGTAGCTCTATCAATAGCTAAAAAGTGCTTGTTATAAGAAAGAACAGCTGCCTCTAAGCTTCTCTTGTCAAGGATTTGGTCAAATTTGCTCCAGAAATTTCAATACAGGTTTGTTTTTATGTCGGCCCGTTTGTTCTTCATTGAAAGTTGCCAACCAAAATGGCGGCCAGAATTTATTTCATCCTAAACCACGCCTTACAACCGTAAAAATTTCTAATAATCTTCCTTCGCATTCAATTCTCGCCTAGGGTGGTCTGTATGTACATTACCCCACCATTATTGTAATAATTAATTACACTGCCCACCCACTCATGAAATGAGGAAAGTTTAAATCTAATGGCAAACGCAATAATTCCTTTCCATCATCTCTTAACTAAAATGAGAGGAGGGAGAGCGAAGAAAAAGAAAAATAGAGTAGAATGAAGAACTTCTACGTGTAATGTAAATGTACATAATCGCAAATCCAATGGCTTGATATTATGTATTAATAGCTTGATCACATTTGATAAATTGGTTTCTACTCCTCTGATACACTCCGCTCTATAGGTTGGTGATTTGGTGTTTGGTTCTCTGTGTCAGGCTGATCCTGATTTTGAGCCTGAGATGACGTGTGTTGATTCCAGTGGACGGGCTAGTGGGATGGGTCTCTTAAAGAAACCTGGATGCGTTATTTCCTGTACTTTATCTCTCTGTCGTCGGTAAGTTGCCTAAAACATAACACACTGTATTATAGTATGATCTAATTTCAACTATGGATTAGAATAGCATGCCCAACAATTGGCTCTTATGTTCTCATGTGCTCTTATACTCTAGAAAGTTTGAGTTGGTTTTAATTCAAATACATGTATACTGTAGCTCTTTAATAGAGTGGTTTTAAAGAATTCGCTATCGATAAATCTATCCTGTATTGTAAATCAATTGTTAATTTCTTGTCATTCTTATTGCAATGATTTAGAGCCGTAATGTTGCCTTAGATTAGTAATTCTGTAGCAATCATTTCCCCCTTCCTGTTTAAATACATGTATATATACAAATTGCCGATGTACATGAGTATTTGTAAATGAGTAATTGAGTATTATTATATAATATCATGAGTGCATGTATCATGAGTAAACAAGACACACACAGAGTTATAATATCATGATTTGCAACTGTTTGCTAGAACATGTGAAAGTAGTAGATTCCCGTTTATTACCATATAGCTAGAATCTTTTGTGGCTCAAAATTTTTGTGAATTTTGTAATTTATTCAAAACTTAAGAAAATAAAATATGCAAAAATCAATTTAATACGCTTCAACATGGCCAAAAGGCAGAAAATCGGGATATATAAAACCACAGAATTGATTTTTGGATGAATTCGGGAAATTTTTGGGCCATGAAAATTTCTTACTATACAGGATCATTATCACTACTACTGGCTCTGATTTATTATTATTATTATTACCATTACCAGTCCTCATTTATTATCATCATTATAATGACCGTATAGTATAGAGGGAAATTTTGGAGGGTGTTAAAGTTGGTGAATATAGCCATTCATCAAAATAAAAATCTGCCATTTTGAGCCATTATGTGCATGCTCAATGGCACATGACCACAAATTTGCCAAATAAAAATTTACCAATCACCAAAATTTAGCAATTCGCCAAATTTAACTTCCTCCAAAATTTCACGCTATACAGTATCACCACTACTATATACATGTAGTTGTATATCACTATGCTCATTGACCTGTGTAATGAGCCACTACCATTAGTCACAGTCTGTTTGTTTTACTCATGCATCATTAATAATGATACATACTTGTGAGTCATTAATGATCTTCTCTTTAGATTACTATCAAAACAATGTGCAGTCATGGAAGAATTACAAAAACACTACAAGTTTGAGTGTGTTGTCGGCCTCAATGGACGAGTGTGGTTATCAGCCCCAACACTGATGCAAACTATAATAATAAGAAACTGTATCAAATCAAGTGAATTTATGAGTGAGGACTCCATCAAAGAGATGGTTCGTCAAGCAGTATTGACATGATATTTACAATAATGACAAGCATAATGTTATTTTTTTGAAGCAATATTGTTTTATTTTATACAATAAATCTTTCCTCTGTGGCCACCACTGAAATAAGGACACATTCTACCAATTATAGTTCATTTTGTAATGTCCAGCCTATATGCAATAGTGAATGAGTCCACCTGTATTGAGGACAGGTAGTGGAGGGCCCAGACTATAATGACTAATGTAATTATATTTTTGAAGCAATATTGTTTTATTTTATTTACAATAAATCTTTCCTCTGTGGCTGACCACAACTGAAATAAGGGCACGTTCTACCAATTATAGTTCATTTTGTAATGTTTGACCTATGCAATAGTGAACGAGTCCACCTGTATTGAGGACAGGTAGTGGGGGGCCAGACTATTGCCTCCTGCTTTCACCTGTACGTTACATCTTCCCATGTTGCAGGGAGTGTCCCTTCTCTTGTAATTTTTCCTGTCATTGGTTTCCTTGTTTACTACTGTTTGTTACTTGTAGTGTTATTGTTTCCAATTTAATCTTCATTTCCATGATACTGACAATTGTACCGGTAGTTATAATTGGAACACGAACTAAAATTGTTAGCTATTTGACGGAAGAGAGTGCAGTATATGGAAGGGTGTCATGTTTCTGGTGAATCATAATAGTAAAGCTTACTACAAAAACAAGCCAGGTGTATTTGGAATATTTCAATCTGGAGGAATTAATGAATATTTTTTGTAATTTGTTTTGTAAGGCTGTGACCATGAAGGCAGCAATTAATGTAGTTGTGGTGATTTTTTATTATTACCTACTTGATTCAGGAAATATGTGTGACCTAGCAGACAAAAATGGCCCAGTTGGTGGCATAGACCGTTAACATTAAACAGTGACTTTGTATCAAAACTTTTACATAACATGATAACATCAGGGTATAATGGTACTATCAGAACAATGAAACTATGATAACAATTGATTTATGCACGTTTATAGTTGCTTATCTAATGGCAATTAATGCTGCCAACTGGACCATTTTTGCCTGCTATGTAACATGTAGAAGATGAACTTAGTTAATGAACTTAGTTAAAATGCACTTCCTTTTCACTTAAGGAACACACTGATTTAAAATTAATGTATTGTTATTGTTTGGTGTTACTATGTCGAATAGCAGTATACCTGATGCATTTGTAAAATTGCATAAAATTTTTATTTTGTTCAATGATGCCTGCTGCTGTTAATTGAATTATATATTTCATCAATAATGATTTAAATATTTTTTGTTATGCAAGAGCAATTGTGGGTTGTAAATTGTAATGCTGTTTTTTTTACTATTAACTATTAGTTCCGGTGCATATTATTATTGTGTTATGTCATTTTGCATGGTATGCATGTACTTACATGCTACTGGAATACGATTGGATAAGTTACAGTTGCAACAGGAAACGATGTCTTTTTACAAGATGCATGTATGTGTACATGACATGTAGTGTTGGTAATTAGGTATATAAGAGCCGAGGGTAAAGTTACCTCAAAACAAGCAGAAGAAAAGCAAAAATCGAAACTTCAAAATAATTACTACTCAATAAAAAACTTAAGATGAAGCTTGGATTTGGATTTATAGCCATTTTCTTCATTTGCACTTATTCTATTTTCCAAACAAAGACAGTAGCATCTCCAATTGCAAATAAACTGCCTCTACGACTCCTTTCTATTTTAAGAATAGCCGTGAGTTGCTGCATCATGTATTACTAAGATTATTGTATAGTAGATTTTAATTGTTTAGTAGTATATGAGCATGACTGACATTCCATTCACAGTCTACTATTACTATTTTACTATTTTTACGTTAATCAATTTTTTACCGACAGGGGAGAACCATCATACATGATATAGATCCGCCAGGTGTTAAGATTTCAGACAAGGTTCCTTATATATCCTTATCTAATATTCAATTGGATATAAATGACTCCTTGGTTGACCCCATTACTGATTTGTTTACGGAAAAATTATTGTGTGATTATGTAAGTTATATTTACATCACTTAAAAGCTATGTAGATATATCACTGGTAATGATTTTATTGTGTCATTTCATTAGTGCTATACATTAAGTAATGAATCTATTGTTTTGTATAGCTGAAGGAGGAAAATCCTGATCACAACTGTCAAGATCATTCTGAGATAAGGAGGAATAAGCACATAGTGGACATTCGTGATCAAGCCAGATCACTCTCTGAGTCAGAGTATTTGCAATGTAATGGAGGCATCTGTGGATCTCTCTGTACACTGGGTTACCCACAGTTTGTTAATGATCTATTAGATTTATCATGTTAGAACATGAAAAAAATAAACATCATTATAATGAACTATTTTAGTTATTTTAATATCATATAATTACGTGAGTTTGAGATAAATTGAAACAACCAATATTGTATAGATTATCTACAATTAATATAATCAATGATACAATAATTTAAAAACATAATCAGCTTGATCAGGCCTAGCGCCTGAAACCAGTTCTGATGTCAGACATGGATCATGGATTTTCAGCAATCACTGCTAATCACTGAGTCAAGATTTAATCATGGGATCAGCCATGATACAAACATGATAAGCATCTTCACGATCTATACTGGATCAGGCCGGCAAGATCGACCTTAATGAGGCTGTACCAATGCTTATATGTTATATCAGACCGTATCTATGATCAGACTAAAATAAGGCCTGAAAATATTTGGCTGTGTGGGCTAGCTATAAAAACCACACCCATAGACTGGACTAGTGATCTGGCTAGTAGTGACGTTACTACATTGTAGCTGGCCTCGAGATTAGATTATACTGGACATTATCTTCGGCGATCTTGGGGCATGTTTTTGGTAAGAAAAATGTAACACAAAAACCTGTATTAATAAAAATGATCATAAATTTTATTTGTGGGTATGTTTTCACTGGCTTGACAAGCTTTTGTAATTGCTTTGAATACTGTGAGTGTGGTGTGACAAATTAATGGTGATTTATGTAGCAAAATTATCTTTTAAAGATTTATGCATTAGCTTATAAATAATTAATTATGCCTACCTTTGCTAAGAAATCGTAACACAATTACCTTTTAATTATTTAAACTGCAGTTGATGTAATTTCATCATTATTTTAATTAAAATTATAATGAATGACATATATGACACTTTTCCTGATTCAAATTGAAGCCTTTCAATATTCAGACACTATGACAAGTAGACCCATAGGGCCCATACAAGTTAATTCCCAATAAGTGTCATTTCACTTAACGCAATACAATTACTCTGCATATTAATAATAATCCAAGTGCAGGTAGTATTATGATTAAATAGTACTTTAGGTTGAGCAATTTAAAACTCTGTTACACTATGCTATAATTTATACAAAACTATACTGTATAGCGGGAAATTTTGAGGGAGTTAAATTTGGCGAATTGTTAAAATTTGTTGATTAGCAAATTTTATTTTGGCAAATTTGTAGCCCTGTGCCATTGATCATGCTCATAATGGCTCAAAATGGCAGGTTTTTATTTTGGCAAATGGCTATCAAAAGGCACGGTATGCATTAATTAATAAAAAATTAGATTTTTTAGAATTTGGTCAGTTGTTTCAGAATTAGCCAATATAGAAATTAACAATTATAATTCGTGAATTTATATTGGTGATTTAGTAGCAATCAATGTGTCATTGAGATTGAGTATGCTTAGAATGAAATAGAATAATGTTATATTGGAGATGCTCATTGTAACTGCTAATTTGTCAATACTAATTTCCCTCCAATACTTTAATTCAACTACCGTTGCAAGATGATTTATTGGTGAGAGTAATTTTTAGTGAATTTGCCTGTAGAAAGGTATTGGTGAATTTTATATTAGCAATTTTGTGCCATATGTGCTATTGAGTGTTCTCAGTTTGAAACAAAATGGCAGATTTTATATTGGCAATTTCTTCATAGAACCGCCAATTGCCAATATTAATTATTTGCCAATAAATCATCTTGTACGGTGTATGGTATATATAAATGCCTTATACATTAATTATGGCAGTAATTGAAAAATTACATTCCTTAGAAGTTGGTCACTTAACTTTTTACAATTTAGCAAATATATAGAAATTAACAATTACAATTGACGACTTTTATATAATAATGATTTAGTAGCAATGTGTCATATAGAGGATATGCATGCTAAGTATATTCATAACTTTTAAGTACTGTATATTCAACCCACACAATAAATTGGCCGCCATGTTGGTTGTCAAGTTTGTTAAGAGTTCAATGGGGAAAACACATTTTTTGCCTTGCTACCTTCTTTATTTTGCAATGAATATACTTAGTGTGCATATCCTCTATTGTATGAGCATGCTCAGAATAAAGCAGAATATTATTATATTGGAGATTCTCACCACAGCCATTTGCGTATGCATATACATGTAATATCTATTGAGGGGGATCACCCATTATGACATAACTATATAAGGTGGTTGATCATTGTCCTTCACTGCTTGATATCATTTTATTGTAGACCCACAGGAGGACCAAACCTTAATTCACATGCATGTGTGGTGAATAAGGAAGTGATGAAACCCTTTATTAGTTTCAGCTGGAATATGACTTGTCACTATCACATGAAGCAGAAACATCTCATGTCATTTGATGTCTCAATACAGTAGCCTTAGTGACTACAGGTGAGAGTAACTGTGTTATTCATTACATTTGATCATTAGCAATATAAAGCAGAAACCTCAGTAATATTTGGAAATATTGATATTGATGTCCTTGTGCTATAAATAGAAATTTTGAGTTGATTGATTCCGACAGAATATTTCTGGAGTTACGAGCATTTAGCATTTTACCAATTTTTGAAAAAAGCAAAAGCTATAACAGCCCATGGTTTTTCTGAAAAATGGCTCCAAAACCACCCCAAATTTTTTATTATATTTTCTGATGCATATTGATGTTTTTATGCTGTGTAGAAAGCTTGAGCTGATTCCGACTTCAATTTTTCAAGCTATGGCCATTTTAAGAAAACACCAAAATTTAAAAAAATACTCAAGGCTTATAGCCCATGGTTTTTTCCAAAAAATGGCTCCAAAATCACCCCAAATTTTTATTACATTTTCTGATACGTATTGATGTCCTTATGCTGTGTAGAAAGTTTGAGCTAATTCCGACTACAATTTTTTAAGTTACGACCATTTTAAGAAAATGCCAAAATTTTGAAAAATACCTAAGGCTATAGCTCATGGTTTTTCACAAAATACAGCTCAGAAATTACCCCAAGTTTTTATTACATTTTCTGATACATATTGATGTTTCTATGCTGTGTAGAAAGTTTGAGCTGATTCCGACTTCAATTTTTTAAGTTACAGCCATTTTAAGAAAATGTCAAAATTTTGAAAAATACCCAAGGCTATAGCCCATGGTTTTTCCCAAAATATGGCTCCAAAATCACTCCAAATTTTTATTACACTTTCTAATACGTATTGTTGTCCTTATGCTGTGTAGAAAGTTTGAGCTGATTCCGATTTCAATTTTTTAAGTTACGGCCATTTTAAGAAAATTCCAAAATTTTGAAAGATACCTAAGGCTATATATAGCCCATGGTTTTTTCCAAAATATGGCTCCAAAATCACCTCAAATTTTTATTACATTTTCTGATACATATTGATGTCTTTATTTTGTGTAGAAAGTTTGAACTGATTCCAACTTCAATTGTTTAAGTTACAGCCATTTTAAGAAAATGCCAAAATTTTGAAAAATACCCAAGGCTATAGCCCATGGTTTTTTCCAAAATATGGCTCCGAAATCACCCCAAATTTTTATTACATTTCCTGATACATATTGATGTCCTTATTCTATGTAAAAAGTTTGAGCTGATTCCGACTTCAATTTTTTGAGTTATAAGGAATTTAAGAACAAGCCAATTTTGTAGAAAAGCCAGGTTTTACTTATCTTTAAACCCACATGCTTGCAGGGAATTTATTTGTCAGTCTAGTTCACCTCTTGCCTCACTTCCACTGCCACTATTAGTCAATACATATTAACATGTACATGGTATATGGTTAACCTTGCTTTGGCTACCACGTGAAGTAATAGTTATGTAAATTCAATGTTAATTGCTTCAATACTGTACATGTATTCTGTATACTGAATTATGATTTTGAACTTCCTCTCTTTAATAAGAAATGATTGATACTGAACATGTGTCATTGTTTATAATAACTCGAGGCATTCCTCACCACACTGGAAGCCTTACTAGTCCTTTTATTAGTATTATGTTGCACTGCCATCAACAGAAGCCATTGCTCACCCTCTAGACTATGGATTGCATATTTTGTGTGTATCCATAGTAACATTATCATAGCTCTACTATAGTGCATAGTGTATATACACAATTTCTCATACAATTTATAAATGTATAGAGATTTGTCTCATTTTTTTAAAGTTTGGTCTCATTTTTTAAAGTGACTCTTAATCTCAATACACCCCTGTCCCTCTATCCTATTACTGTTATTGCTTAAAGCATAATATATGTATTTTTAATGTAATGTACATGTAATTTAATAGGTATACATGTATGTCTGTGTTTTGTGTTTATTTCATTATTGAAGCATATAGGAAGCAGTAGATATATTATACTTTTAAGGTCAAAAGAGATTTGCCTGTAAAAGGCAATTAGAACTAAAACTCTCAATAGAAATTTGAAGTCATAGAGCACATGATGGAGGATTGAATGAAAACATTAATTTTGATTAAAATACATGTATTATGTCATTTAGTATTAGCAATCAATGTAAAGACTGTTACGGTCTTTTGTACATGTACATTTGATGAGAAATTAATACCATTTTGTGAAAATGAATACCCTCAAATATTATTAGCCTCAGCCACTTATGCTTATGTGATTGTGATGGATTTTCTTTCTGTGGACTTCATATCTTTCTGGGCTTAATTTTTGCTTTTCGGACTTGAAGAATAAAAAATGAAAGAATCCTATATGATCGTTAAACGGCAGAAATGCCTGGCTTACTCAACTTTGTACCTATACTAATTCTTATTCACAGATTTCATAAATTTGTGTAATAGAGTATGCAGTTCCCATGTCTTCATTCCTAAGTGTGATTACATGCCTTTGATTGTATTGATCATCATTTCCCATCCCAAATTTGCTGATCGAGTGATCATAATCCTAGCAGGCCAAGCACCAATCTTTCGTGTTTGGGTGTAACAAAAACTGACCCTTTTTGCCTTCGATGGCATACAAGAATATACCAGAACTGCTCTTAACTGTGCAGCGTACATGTATATGCCATATATTACATGTATATGTACATGTATATGCATGTGAAATACCGTATAGCTGGTTTATTTCGTGTGGAATTAATTTTCGTGCAGGCTCAAATCCACTAAA